GCCATCATCGATGTTAATTTTTAGGAAGCGACTCCACCCCTCCTCCGGTGACTAAGATGTCTCCTGTTTCCAACAAGTTTGAAGGCATTCCTCAACAGCAAAGGTATCTTTGACAGAAACTGTGTGGATGTTGAAGCCTCTTCTTTGTGAAATAGTTTTGTTTTTTTCAAATATAGTTATTTCACTTTTTTTTTCCTAGCTCTACTTCAAGCAACACAAAGTCTACACTTGGTCCAAGGGTTCTTCCCAAACTACCTCAGAAAGGTACAGACGTTTGGATATTTTGTGTTTTTAGTGCAAGTAGTTGAATTACAAAGGTATTAATGAGCCACTATGCGGTTACCTCTCCAGTGGCATTGCGTAAGATTGACACCATACACCATCCGTCTGTGGATAAGCCTAGCCTTCCTCCAGAGGTCTTCCAGAAGTCTCCGCCGCCAGCTGAAACCCCGCAGAAGGTTCCTCTGGTGGAGAGGCCTCAGCCGGGAGACCTTCCCCCAAAACCGCAGGTGTCGGAACTCCCCCCTAAACCTGGAGACCTTCCTCCGAAGCCGCAGCTCTCCGACCTCCCTCCCAAACCTCAGCTGGGTGACCTACCACCTAAACCCCAGCTCAAAGACCTCCCTCCCAAGCCTCATCTTGCAGACATCCCCCCAAAACCTGGGTCAGTCGAGTCTGCTCCCAGGCCGCTCCACGGAGAGCCAACGCCAAGGCCCCAAATACAGCCTCCACCTCCGCCTCAAACTCATCCTCAACCGCACCCACAGCCTCAAGACTCGCCGTCACCTAATCAGCAGGCAAATATAGGGACCCCATCTCAACAGTCTGCTGAAGACACCAACGGGACCCCTGCAGGCACCCAAGAGACACCTGTGCCCCTCCCAAGGAAGATCACAACGGTATGGACTCGCATATTATTTCTAAGGGTTCCTCAAATACAGTACTTTTAAAAAAAGAAATAACAGTGTAAACATACACATTTTTACGTCTTTGTATATTTACTCATATATAATATTTCAGCTATCACGTATATAGATGTTAATCATTGCAAAAGTCCCTCCAGCATAGACTTTCTTAATGCGAACAATGTTAACATCAACACACTACAAACTCCTGCATTCCTAAATGCCTGCCACTTCACAGTATATCAGGTAAACTTGCCATTGTTTTTGTCACCGTATAATCCAGACTGGACCTTATGTCTTTTTTTTCAGATTGAAAAGTACAAAAGTTACAAACCTACCTTAAGATCCTGGATGTTTTGTCCTCTGTGTCTGAGATAATTTGTAGTTTTAGAGTATAAATGGGTTGAATTCGTTCCCAGTGGAGACTCTCATTGACTCTGCCTCTGAGTGAAGCTGCTTTTATTTAATAAACTCAGTGAAAACACTCCTACAGATCTTTTTATCTGTTGGTAAAACCCCAGAATATACATTTGCTCTGTCACTTCCTCTTTTTTGGTGCGAAATTTGTTGATAAACAGCATATTTGAGGTTAGGCGTGTAGGCGTTTGATACAATGTGCCAGATATGGCATGGACTTAATTTACAACGCCTGCATTTACATATGCAAAGATAACTATTAGAGTTTGCATGAACATGAGATAAAATGTACAGCTGTGGTGTGTTTTCCACTAAATCAGCTGGATTGCTCTATGCCAGTACATGACTATCGGATATAAAAGAAGCACCACTTGACACCTATGCGACATGTCTTTGTAAACTGTTCCTGTCTTCAAAGGTTTGTTCAGATCTCACCAGATGCTCGGGGGACATTTCAGTCTTACAACAAAAACATGGTTACTCTTAAAAAATATCTGTTTTATTGTGTTAAATGTGTCTGGACACATTGTGTTATACTAAATTTAAATACATCTCTGTTATTATTAATAAATGGAGTAAACCCTGCAGGCTAGTTAATTAACACGCCTCACTACTACTCGTCATATTCCAGAGACGCCATCCCAATATGTGGAGAGCGGTCACCTTGGGTCAGCGCTGTCCCCGACACCATTAAAGTTAAAGTAAATTTAAATATAGCGTCCCAGATACGAACTTCGCAGACAGACTTTTTATTTCATCATCACTCCCCATTTTTTCGGTGTAACATATTTGTGGGGAGTGATGATGTCGAAGCCTAGATGGCAAACTCTAAATGCGTAATGGTGCTGTTATGAATCGCACAAAGCCAGAGTGGTCGGACTGAACTGGTTCTGCTGTTTGTTTCTGTCCAGGGGAAGAACAAAGCCCGGCGGGTGAAGACGATCTACGACTGCCAGGCTGACAATGATGACGAACTGACATTTGTTGAAGGAGAGGTGATTATAGTAACAGGGGAAGAGGACCAGGAGTGGTGGGTGAGTGTGGCCTAAGCGTATCTTGTACCTTTTGAACATCTCGCAGTTTAAAAAACAAAATCGCACAATATTCCTTTGCTTTGCCTCCAGATCGGGCACATTGAAGGAGATCCGGAAAGAAAAGGAGTATTCCCCATGTCTTTTGTGCACATCCTGAGTGACTGACAGCCAGAAAGACTTGCACTACACCTCTGTCCCTAAATTGGGAGGTCCTGTAAATAGCTCTCATAACACCTCTTGTCACAAGACAAGTGTCCTAAAGAAGAAAAAAAACAACAACACACCAAGAAGAAACCCCACGAAGGCTCATCTAGCCATGGATGCCTCATCCATGCTGTACAAAGAATGTGTGTATTCTTCCTCTACCAGTATTATCTTAACCCTATAGCACGGCTGTGACGAAGCCACTCTCAAAACCCTAGCACTTACCTTAAAGTCTATGTTTATGCTGTTACTGTGTATATATGTATGTAAATATATATATTTGTGTGTGAGTGTACATACATGTTTTATTGTACAAAACATGTACCATTGCTCTCTGCCTGTCAGATTAAGCATCAGGGTGGTAGAGTTTGAATTTTATCTGTATTGATTTTACCGGCCCTCAAATAACTATCTGCTCATATTTCTGGGAAAAGGACAAATATGAAATGGAATGTGAAATAGGTCATGTCATTGTTTGTCTTGCATCCCTGTTTACCACCACAATTGACTGAAGAGGCAGGAAGTCTCCCACTGACTCTTCCCGAGATGGAAGAAAGAGGAAAAAAAAAAGTCATTTAATGTACTCTTTGTTCTTGCTTGCTTTGTGTGTACTCGTATTATGGTTGTTTTACAGTATAGAAACCTGCTGCTACTGTGTGGTGGAATATCAACGCCTGTGGTTCACTGTAGGTCACTAATTTACTCCTTGTTACACTGTTCACTGTATGTATGCTCTGTGTGTGAACTCAACGCCATCTCCACAGTCCTTTGACCTTTTTTCTGTGCATGGTGTAACAATGACTGGAAATGAGTGGAGTGCTGCGTTCGACGACGCTCACCTCAGGGTTTGAAGAGCCACTATTAATATAAAGCAGGACTGCGCAAAATGTATCCTGTTGTTAAAAGCCACTATTAATGACAAGTACGGGAAACTCCAGAGGACATCTTAGCAATAACTTGATTTTTCTGACAGGCTAGAAGTCTCACAACAACCTGTGTTCACAGTTCAGTGTCTTGTAAAACCTCATGAGCTTGAATTTTTTTCTTTTTAGTTTGAGTCATGTGATATCATTCTGTTACTGGATTCAGTCGTAGGCAGTATAAAAGACGGACGGAAATGGCCGCCGGTTTTGGACTGTATTTTTCAAGCTTCGGCGCTGTTTTAGTCAGTGCCATGTTGGCTTTTCAAAGCCAGAAGTTACCTTATATGGCACACTGCGTTCATAAACAGTATGGGTGTGCTGAGTAACACACTAACGATAATAATACTAGAATTTAACTCGGCAAAATTGAAGGAGAAGCTTCTTGGATGGTCTCTACCACACAGCAAACTGTGATATTAGTTGAGAGCTATTAAAAATGCTCTGAAAGGCACCAACGGCACAAAGTGGACGAGGCCTAGCAGACAACAATTGGGATGCCTTTCAATCTATGTGGTCACACCCCTTACTTATATACCTAGATGGATGAGTTTTTAAAAAAAAAGTTATGAAGGGGGGGAAAGAAACTACCCCTGAGACCAAAAATGTTTTTGTTTTTCTACCAGGCTGTAAACATGCTTCTTAATGCTGTCAAGTTATTTTAACATGGGAGTCTACTCCCTTCTGGAGCCAGCCTCAAGTGGCCACCAGAGGAACTGCAGTTCCCCTGCTGGCTTCGTTTCAGCTCCAGCAGTTGCCTCTTGGATTTAGTACATTTCCAGGTTTACCTGTGAACCAGAGATGTCTTTTTAGATGAGGTGGACTTTAGAGAGCTGATGTACTTTCACCTGGTCCACACCAACCTGCAGTTCTTCCCATGTTAAGGAACAAACCCATCAACCCATTGTATCATTAAAAGTGCTGTATTTAAACCTTGAGCCTGGTCTTTTATTTGGTCGACATGTAGTTTTGAGGTCTTTACGGCTTTAAGCCAAGCATTTGTTTCTAAAGTTGCTGTTGATGTTAAGCTGGAGAAATTTGGGATTTCTCTGGAATTTTAGTTTTGGGGTTACTCAAATAAAAATTGGCAACTTGTGTAAACGCCATCTATCGTTTCTATATTAAACTTTCACTGCTAATGTTAAATTTACATAAATATGCTGTTGCTTAGAAGCTGGCGTTTTACTAGCATAGAACTGATTTGAGTTCTCAAAGTGTATTTCAACATGTAGTATAAAGCACAATTGCAATACAGTGGTGTATATTCGATTCAGGCTTAAACTACTTACGAGGTTTTCTGTTCAAAATGCACACCAAACCAAAAACATTACAAGTAGCCTTAAATCTAGAGTAGAGGCTCAAGTTGTAGGGAGAGAAACTGAAAACTTTACACCCCCATTTAGCACATTGAAGTTTCACACTAGCATTCTTTTGCCAAAGCAAGGCACAAACTACCAGTACAGGACGCTAAAGTGACTCCATGTGCCACTCAAAACATTAAAAGTTTAGATTTCAGATGCCGGCTGTTGTAAACGAACTTGAAAATCCAGACCATACTCATTAGAACCAATAAACTCTGCATTTGGTGCTTTACAATTTAAAGCATGACTTTATTACAAACTGGAGATGTTGTGCACCATGAGATGCTGAGGCTTCTCATTCAGCTTTAAGCAATATTTAAGACTATCCCTGAGGAGAGTTTAGTTGAAGTTCTTTCAGATGTACATTAAGATGCCGTTGACGGTTCAACAGTAAAGACACTTAAACCAGTTCTTCTCCACACCATTTTATTTTGAGACATTCAATTTTAAACCAAAAAACCAACCAAACTCTACTTCTGGGTTTATCAACACAGGAATACTATACACTTTAAAGACAACATAAGCTTTTTGTGTCACAACACAAATACATTTCATCAAATAAAACTCTTCCCATGAAGCAGCATTACCAGACCTCTGGTAAACCAAAAACTTATTTACAAACTTGAGCTTTGTGCAGTTTTGAGCCGTGGTTCTTTTCCACTGACTTGATGACTCCTACAGCGACCGTCTGCTTCAGGTCTCTCGCCGCGAAGCGACCTGTGAAGAAGAGCCAGACAAACGAGGGCACAACCAGGAGGATTCAAACACGCAGAGTTGTGTGCATGAAGAGATCTGTGCTTACCTAAAGGAGGGTATGTGAAGAAGCTCTCCACACACATGGGCTTGATGGGGACCAGTTTGACTGTGGCCGCATCTCCAGACATGAGGATCTGCGGGTGGTCCTCCAGCTTCTTGCCCGTGCGGCGGTCGAGCTTCTCCTTCAGCTCAGCGAAACGGCAGGTGACGTGGGCTGTGTGGCAGTCCAGAACTGGGGAGTAGCCTGCTTTGATCTTCCCTGGATGGTTCAGGATTATCACCTAAGACAAAAGCAAGGTTTAGTGGAAACAAACCAAAAAAAGTGAGGCAATTTCTTCCTGCAGTGAACCAACCTGAGCGTCAAAGCTTTTAACATCTGAAGGAGGATCCTGCTGAGCGTTCCCAGCCACGTCCCCACGCCGCAGGTTCTTCACGGACACGTTCTTGATGTTAAAGCCAACATTGTGGCCGGGCAGAGCCGTCTCCAGCCCCTGGTGGTGCATCTCAATAGACTTTACCTCTGCAGTGAGCTTGGCAGGGGAGAACGTCAGCATCATGCCAGGCTTCAGGACACCAGTTTCAATTTTACCCACTGGCACAGTCCCAACTCCTGGAGGAGTAAGAAACACTTCAATTTCAGCATGTTTACAGACATTTTCTACTCTAAAAACAATACTGTACTTCCTCTACTGCATTTTTCATAAATGAAGCTGTAATTGAGCTCAGACCAAGAAATCGAGAAAATGGGATCAAAAGCAGCGATTGACATCACCTCCAATTTTGTAGACATCCTGCAGAGGTAATCGTAGTGGCTTGTTGACTGTGCGCACAGGTGGCTGAATCGAGTCCAGGACTTCAAGCAGCGTCTTCCCACTTTTATTCCCTTCCTTTCGTCTCACCTTCCAGCCTTGAAACCACGGCATCTGTGCAGACGTTACTTTTACATCATTGCAAGCCAACTTCTGGGGTTTAAAGGGGGGGGGAAAAAAGCTTGAAAACATCATTACCCTTTGAGATGCGGTGATCATGTTCTCCCCAGTCCAGCCTGAAACTGGAACGAAGGGCACAGCCGTGGTGTCGTAGCCAATCTTCCTGAGGAAGCCGCTCACCCCTCGCATCACTTCCTCGAAGCGGCTCTGGCTGTAAGGTGGCTCGGTCAGGTCCATCTTGTTCACACAGACTATGATTTGCTTCACACCTAGAGTATAAGCCAGCAAGGCATGCTCTCTGGTCTGACCACTCCGAGACACGCCGGCCTCATACTCTCCTTTGGCTGCAGAGACCACCAGGAGGGCAACGTCAGCCTGAAATGATATGAGCTTTAGGAAAAGGCAGCATTCATAGCAACAGATATTCAAGCACGCGTGTACTTCCTACCTGTGACGTCCCAGTTATCATGTTTTTGATGAAGTCACGGTGGCCCGGAGCATCAATTACAGTCATGATGTATTTCTGGGTGTTGAACTTCAGCAGCGTGATATCGATGGTGATTCCTCGCTCCCGCTCAGCTTTCAGCTTGTCCAGCACCCAGGCAAATTTAAAGGAGCTCTTCCCCATCTGGAAGTCAAGCAGAATGAGTTTAACACTTGAAAACTTGGAAGTTTTGCAGAAATTGTTTTTGTTTTTACTCACTTCATTCGCAGCCTTCTCAAATTTCTCCAGCCTCCTTTGATCAATTCCTCCACACTTGTAGACCAGGTGTCCGGTGGTGGTGGATTTCCCACTGTCAACGTGGCCGATAATCACCACGTTAACATGAGTCTTCTCTTTTCCCATGGTTGGAGATGGCGTTGCAAAACGTAATCAAGAGCGCTGCAGAGCTTCAGAAACTGTCGTTTTCTAGCAAATGGATCTGGCCATCCTCTTTGGAGAGCCTTTATAGCCCCCAGAGGATGCATAACTGAAGACAGGTGTGCTGCTTAATCAAGCTTAATTGGGATCAGTCACACTTTGATGACAAATAAGTGCTGCTTAAAGGCAAAGTGGCTTTGAAGCTTGAAGTTTCAAGAATATATTGATCTGCTTTGTGACTGTAATCTGTATTTTTGTTTAAAGTCCCAATGTTTCAGCGCAATCTTTTGATCAGTGTGCAGAAACAGACCGTTACACTCGCTTCTCTCTTAGGGCCTCATCATGGATCCTCTGATGAGCTCAAATTACAGCCAGGTGAGTCTTTCTCTGGAGCTGGAGCGCGCTCAACACTTGTCTCACTTACTGATTGCTGAAGAGTGAACTGAACAGATAACGGGCACGTTTAGTATCTGTGTCAAAAATATAATGACAAAACAGATCAAATCCATCATACTGAGAGTCTGCTGGTTTGAAGTGTAGTGGGAAAAGCACAGCTGATGTTTTGAATGTATTGAGCTTAATCACAATGAGGGATAATGCTGATCCAACCATTCATAAGCCATGTTTGTAGCTGTTTTAATAACTATAAATCATTAAACATTTTAGCAGGAGGCTCACTTAATTTCAAATCAAACTAATGTTTTGTTGCTCAGTGAAATCTGCTCCAGTGTTTGAACGTGAATATCTTAAAAACTACTAGAAATAAAAACATGAACTTTTCACTGGACTTTATTATCATCCAAATAAATCAGCATCTGTAATTTGGGACAAATACATTAAGATTTATCTGAGTATTGGTTAGTTAAAATATGAAAAAGAAGTTCCAGCACTCCAGCAAAGTCCCATATTTGAACACACACTAATAAAACCTTCAAATTACAAAAGATAATTAGTGACAATTTCTAAATGATATATAGATGAATTTCACAACACTACAAAATAAAGCATGTGGAAGCCTTTTTAATAAGAATTTCTTAGTCATAAAAATTCAACTTTCATGCTGGGTTGAGCAAATATGACAATTTGTACCACAGAAACAAAAATATCAGCAGAAAGTCAATTTACAGATGGTACTCTAATTATAAATCAGAAAATATTTTTGTTAATATGTGCATTTTGTTTTAATTTTCAAGACCCAAGTTCATCATCAATCATCAATCAACCAGATTCAATTTCCATAAAAAACATTTTATGGTCCAAAGTTTGAGGGTACAGAATTGAACGATTTCTGTTCATTTTAACTTCACATACTAAATACCTTTCAGATATCTATGTTTGCATAAAGGCGTGTCAACCCACTTTCAGGCCATTTTCCTTCCACAATGAGAAAAAAAAATGCCTGAAAGTGGGTCAACGGACCATTTAAATGTCAACACAACCCAGTGAGAATTCAGCAGGTGAATGATGACAGAGAATAAAAATCAAAATAATATATATTACTGTGATTATGGAAAAAACTATACCAATAGTATATACCAAATTACTGCAGCTGTACTGCAGCTCTTGTGGGGTGTTACTGGTCTGCAGTGGTTAGTATCGATCAAAAGCGGTCCAAGGAGGGAACAGTGGTGAACCAACAACAGGTTTATGGGCAACCACTTCACTCCCCACATGGATCAGAGAGCCTTCTCTGATCCATGTGGGGAGTGAAGTGGTTCAATCCAACAGATGACCTACTGCAGACCAGTCGGGTCTTTCACCAGGATAACGCACAAAGCAAAGAAATGGTTCAGGAATGGTTTGAGATTTTGACTTTCCCCATATCTCAATCCAATCAAGCATTTGTGGGATGCTTACATCCTGTGCTGTATGGTTTGGAGAGGGTGGCAGAAGGAAGAACTGAAGATGATTTTCACTTAGCATCTTCAGGACTGTCCTGTGTTGGTAATAATACTAATAAACGGGACCATAAGAGAGAAGAAGACACCCTACAATGAGTTGAAACATTAACTTGTTTATTTCTACTTAAAACAGATTATTATAGATTTGAAAATCTTATTTGGTTTTCATATGTACCCATTTTCAGTGATATAAACTTTTTTTTAAGTAACCTATATTTGGCAGCAGCATAATAAAACTGGAAAATCTGTTTTTGGTGTGCCACCCCAATATTCTTAGTGGCCAGCATATGGCCACCCCTATAAAACAAAATCTGGACGCGCCCCTGTCAGAGGGACAGCTCAGGCTGAGCTTGGAGACAAAGTTAGAGAGATGTGCAGAGGAGGGACGGTGGATATACCGGGAAAAGGATGTTGAAGACGAAACTGCCAGACAGAAGGAAAAGACCACAGACAATATTCACCATATTTTGTGAATTAAAGTAGTCAGCGTCATTATTAGCACGAATAATTTCAATGACATGCATGGAAATCGAGGATTAAAACTCGCTGATAGATTCTGGGGCGAAATAACAGAACAGCGTCACCTAGAGGCGCTATGCTAGTTTATTGCCCAAGGGCACGTCGGTAGAAAAGGCTTCAGATTTGATGTCCGATTGAAGAACTAAGTGCAAACACTGCACGTACTGTCTAAGAAGACCTAATTTACGCGGCGGTGGGTTCCATTAAATCTATTTTAGTAGTGATAAGTGGAGGTGACCGTTGACACAGTATCGCGCGCGTCCGCTGACCGGGCGCATCTATTTTCAGTTCTGGAGGGGGAGGAAGGTGTGCAACTCACCCCCATCCGCGCTCAGAGGTGGGACAAACCGAACTCCCCTATCGTTTGACGCTGGATAGCTAACCCGGAAACAGCGGCAGCAAATCGCTGTTCCCTTTCTTTGAGCCCGTACCGCTGCTTGTAGCGTGGTGTCCAGCCGACGGTTGCCGTGTTTCTCCGCGAGCATCAAGGTAAAACACAAAGAAAATACTACTTTATTCGCACTCTTTCTCCCCTTTCTGTTAGTCACCTTCGCTGTCCGCCGTATGCCATTCATTGAAGCTTGCTCTGAGTGTTAGATTTTGCTCCTCGAAGGCAAAACTGTTGAATTTAAAAAGAAATCAGGTAAAATCAAACCTAGGTAGGGTTAAGTTGGCGTTAAAGTAAAAGGAGGGGTAAATGCGAGCATGACGGTGTTACATCCTCGGTGTACCGTTAACTTCCCCTTTCAGAACAACGGACTGGTTCTCAGACAGGAGGCATTAGGCTCCGATGCTTAGCAGGATTTCCCTTAAGTTATCCACAGACGCTGAGCGATACATGCCTGACCCACAGCACTTCACCGATGACCAGGCTATCAGCTGTGTTTGGCGTGTGTGCACAGTTTTAAACGGACCGTATGGCTGTGGATTAGGACTGCGCGCTTGCAGGCAGCAAATGAAGCTTCATTAAAGGAAATGCACACACAGTGACAGATGGGGCAGCAGGTTCAGGGCTGGGTTTGTCTTCGGTCATATTTTTATTTTAAAAGCTGTGGCTTGATTTCAAAGCGCTGGGAGTTCATATAAAGTGTCAGCAGTAGCAGCCGCAGAGTATACACATACCTGCAAAAGTCCGAAATTAGACCTGCTGTTGGTTAATTGAAGTCACCGCATGCTTTATATGCTCTTTATAGAGGTTTCTTACATGAATAGTAACTACAGTTGCCAAGTAATATCAAGTACCTGAAAATGAGGACCCTTTTTTGCAGTCCAGCACTGGGATTTCTGTAGACTGCATGCTTAATCTTTGCATCAGTGTTTCAGTGTAACCACAGTATATAATTTCCTGTCTGCCCAGAAGTGGAAATGAAACATCCAGACGATTTGTTGACAGTGTTTGGAAAGTGCAATGTCCTACTTCAGATTCGTCTCAAAGGTCTCAGGCTCGCTCCTGCTGCAATTTAGGAACCCCTGAGTGTAGTCAGACCTGCACAAAGTTACTCCACCATCTTTAAAGATGGCTCAAGTCACTTCAGTGCGTCACCCGGATATTGCAGACTCATACTTTATTTCACAATTGCTTAGTATCACTTTCCCCTCCATGTGTGGCTCTAAAAGGGAGTGGATATGGGAGTGTTAGGGCTCTCTCAATAAGGCTTTTTCCAGTGTGTATTAAAAATTTAGGCCTTCAATGTGATTTATTTATTTATTTATTTTAAATGACAAAGGAAGGAGTAACCTGCACAGACTTCTGTATAGTAACGTTTTCCTACAGGCACATTTTGAGACAGAAAAAGCCCTGCAGCCCATTTAGCTGAAAAGTAAAATATTTGCATCCATTTTTCAATGCCGCCGCATATAGAAAAGGCACTGATAAATGTACAATTTCCTTTCCGCTCAAAGTCTACCGAAAGTGGAAGTGAAACGTGTGCAGACGGGTGGATTTGTTGATTAGTGCAGCTTTAAATTTATCTCAAAGGTCTCACTCCTGCTGCACATTAGAAACCTCCAAGTTTAGTTAGACATGTAAAACGTTGCTCCACTATCTTTTCAGATGGCACCAGTCATGCATACCAACCGGATATTGCAGACTCATACTTCAATTCACAGATGTTTACTGTGACTTTTCCCCTTGTGTCAAAAGCACCTCAGATGTGGCTTAAAAACAAGTATATGAGGTCGAGAAGGGATGGAAACTGAATCAAGTATCGCCTCTTTTTATGTTTTAGACCTCTAAAGATTGACTGGAGGACGCAACAGTACCCAAGTGTTGCCACAGTCAGTTGTGAGATGTTAGACGAGGTGAAACTTGTTGCGCCCTGTCTCCTTCCCTTGCTGCTCTTGTGTGAACAGCTGGGATCATCGCCAGTTTCTCCTTATTTTTATTTATTTATTTATTGTCTTGATCTTTCTGCTGTCACAAAAAGTGTAAAAGCGGGGAGAAAAGACTGCTTGCGATAACAAAGTGAAATGTTGTGTGGAGGAAGTTGTTTATGTGAGCTTTTTTATTTTTTTTTTAAATGCTCACAGTCTTGAATGAGAAAATATGGCTGACTTGGCCGCGTGTTTTCCCTCATAAATCCTGCAGGTACGGGCGTGCAGGTGCGCTTAGGCATGACCTTTTCTTAGAAATCAAATGTGGGCTGGATACTGTGACGTGTCAGCAGCAAATCGAACAAATGTTAGGAGCCCTGGGGGTGACTTTCGCGGGTTTAATCTTGTGTTAATGGAACAATAGGCATTTGGAAAATAATGTAGTTTTGTAGTCAACAGCAGCAGATAGCCTTAGAATATAATAAGACAAAGATAAACAAAGCCTGCATAAAAGAAGTGCACGTTTCTCCCGTGAGGAGAGATTTGCGACGTTTTCTCCGGCAAATGTTGTTCGGATAGTTGTACACGGTACAGCTGGTAGAGAGAATGTAATGGTGGTCAGTTTTAATTATTTATAATGTTTCCAGGAGTCTTCCTCCTGAGCTTTTCAGTCATCACACAGACCGACCTGCACTCAAAGCCAGGGCAATATTATATATTTTATATTTACTGTTCTGATAGCTTTACATTTCCCCACATTGTAGAGCTCACAGGACCCACTCCCTCAAACACACCTGTTGGCTTCAGCTTGGGTTACTGCAGTTATTCTCAGTATGCTGACACTCGGTCTGTATTATATAGAGTGTCTCTGATCGTCTCACGCTGAACACACTGAACATCTCTTCATCTTTGAGTCATTGTTGTAACACGTC